GAAAAATTAACAGAAGGAAATGAACACAATCCAATAGATATTGGTAGATGAAGTTGCAAAGAACTTATTGAAATAAGTAAAGGAAGTATTACCTCATTCAAAAGGGACAAGTTTACAAGATAAGAAACGCAGGTGCAGAGTAACCCCATGCACTAGAATTATTCAGGTGGTGGAAATTGATAATGGTAGAATGGTAGCTAGCGAATAGGTTGAGACTAAAGATGAGAATATAGAAGTGATATTGCTGTCAGAATATATAGATGTATATATATGATTCTCTTCCCAGTGGCAATATCTAGTAGTCAGAGGGACTTCAACTACGTACCTTTTTTCAGGCTCACAAAGAGAAATAATAACTGGCATCACAATGACTGGCTACAGGGAGAAAGAATTATCTGATAACTAGAGGTACCAGAATCAGGGGACTGACCCCACTCCAGGGCTGGCTGCCAAAGGGAGTGGCCAGAGTCCAAGTCCTCATATTCCAGGGAGCATGTCATTTCACAGGGTGTTTCTTAACAAGATCAGATTTTAAAAGAGCATGTATTAAAGAATAGCACAAGGACTGATACTTTCTTGTAGGCTTAGATAATTTTTGCTTTAAAAAAGAATACCAAGAAATTTTCAGAATTTTTTTCCCCCTGTTTTTCAAGTAATGCTTGCCACAAGAGAGTGAACAAGAAAGGATGAAAGCCACTTCTTGGGTGCTGATGCTATCAAATGACAAAAAAAAAGGGGGGCAAGACCGCTCTACTTTTGTCTCCTCTTTCAAAGAAAATAATTTTTCATTAAAAATAACTTATTTTAATGACTAAAGGGCTACTGAAATCCAGTGTGGTAAATGAGCAACCATTTTAAGTGAGTTAAACTCTCTAGGCCTAAAGGAATTATCCATGAAAAATTTGCTTAAGTGATTATAGAAGCAATACTAGTCAGCTTTGGGAAGCCAGAGAAAAATAGGAAATGCCAAAAGATTAAAGAGGGACAAATATTGTCCTAATTTTCAAAGAGTGTAAAAAGCAAGAAAGCGTTTGAAGATTACTGGTAAATTTACAAGGTCTAGAATGAATTTTTTTTTTAATAATCTCTACACTCATTGTGGGGCTCAAACTTACAACCCTGAGACCAAGAGTCTGAGGCTCTACCGACTGAGCCAGCCAGGTGCCCCTCAACTGAATTTTTAAACAAATGTTTTAACGATAGGGAAAGAGATTGAGCTCATGAATGACAATTTCAATTTTTTTTGTGTTGCCATCTATCTCTGTCAAGTTCTTCATGGAAAAAAGGATTTAATGCAGATTTTTCAAATGAAGAAACTTAAAGGTACTGCTTCCCAACTGTAAACCTTTGCCAGTCTAGTATGATTACCAGAACGGCAGTGTCAGCATCACCTGGGAGCCAGATAGAACCCGAGACTCTCAGGCCCCAGCCCGACCTAGTGACTTAGAATCTACATTTACACAGGATCCCTAAGTGGTTCATAGGTACTAAAATTTGAGAAGCACTGAAGAAGTTAGAAGGACAAATAAGAGATGGCAAGGCGCCCCGAAACTCATAACATTAAGAAGCTGTTACAACTCCTAGGGCTAAAGGAACAAAGTACAATGTCTTCCTTGCTTGCTTTCCTGTTCCACCTCCTTGGTGAAGCCTTTCCTGTTCTGCTGACAGGCAGAGTGAATAGGTCCTTTTGCTATACTTTAAAATCCCTTAATTCATATATCTTTTGTAGGATTTGTCTTCTCTATCAGAGTTGTTTAAACATCTGTCTCTCAGCAGACTGTGCACACTGGTTAAGAGTCAGAGAGGCACCTGCATTTAAAAATTTTTAGTTTCTTAATCTCAGGAAACAAACAGGGTTGCTGGAGTGGTGGGGGGTGGGAGGGATGGGGTGGCTGGGTGATAGACATTGGGGAGGGTATGTGCCATGGTGAGCGCTGTGAATTGTGTAAGACTGATGAATCACACACCTGTACCTCTGAAACAAATAATACATATGTTAAAAAAAAAAAGAAAAGAAGATAATAGGAAGGGAAAAATGAAGGGGGGAATCGGAGAGGGAGATGAACCATGAGAGACTATGGACTCTGAGGAACAAACTGAGGGTTGTAGAGGGGAGGGGGGTGGGGGGGTGGGTTAGCCTAGTGGTGGGTATTAAGGAGGGCAGGTATTGAATGGAGCACTGGGTGTTACGCACAAACAATGAATCACTACATCAAAAACTAATGATGTAATGTATAGTGATAAACATGATAAAATAAAAAATAAACAAAAATAAATCTAGAAACCCAAAATAAAAAAACAATTTTTTTTAGTTTCTACCACAGTGCTGGGCACAGAGGTAGTCTAAAAAGGTAATCTAATCCCTTACCAACTCTATTAGGGAGGAACTATCATTAAACAGATTTTAAGATGAGAAACTTAAAGTGCTGAAAGGTTAGTAACTTGCCCAAGGTCACATAGTTATGAAGTGGTAACGCCAGGATTTTTTTTTTTTTAAGATTTTATGTATTTATTTGACACACAGATATAGCACAAGCAGGGGGAGGAGCATAGGGAAAGGGAGAAGCGGGCTCCCCGCTGAGCAAGGAGCTGGATGGGGAATAAGGGGCTCAATCCCAGGAGGCGAGGATCATGACCTGATCCAAAGGCAGATGCTTAACCGACTGAGCCACCCAGGCATCCCTAAAGCCAGGATTTTTGAACCTAGGTAGTCTGGTTTTAGAATGATATTTAAATAACTTCATAATGAGAAATGACATTCTGAACTAGCCTTCCTTGGCCAAAAGTAATTAAATTGTATTTTTATTAAATATATTTATGCCTACCTGCCAAAATAAACAAATAAAAAACAAGGAGGAGGGAATTTAAGGCATCGCTACTTGTCAGTGAAAAAATTCAGGCCGAAGTGGGGTAAATTTTGATGATTTTGTCCTAAAAGGTTTTCCTCAAACAGATGACATGTTTGAAATAAGTGACTTTAGGCTTTTGTGATGAGAGTAAACTAACCTACCCACAAAAGCAGGGAGTTCATATTCTTCTAATCTAATCAGAGGTTTTCAACATAAACATTTACAAACGAAGGACTTAAATAAAAATTAAAAAAAATTAATTAAATCCTGCCATCGGGTCTGGTCAAAAGAACACAAAATGGAGAGCTGGTCTCCCATTGCCCTTTCATCCGGTTGGCAACGTGAGGAGCGGTGTTTTCACAGGGTTTACATGAGACCTCCTGTCCGTAGGCAGTGCTGTGGTCTCACCCGCCCTAAGGGAGAAGGAACAAAATGGCCATATACAGAGAGCAGCAGATCAAAGTATATCTCTCTTCCCCTTCCCTTTGCCTACCACCCATCCACATGGAAATCTTAATTCAACACTTAATGCCTAGTGCAGTCTTCACATAAATGTTGGTCCTCGTCTTCAAATCTGAAGTCTAGCGGGGGCAGATACTGGTCGAAACTGATGAGGTTCGTGCTCTGCAAGGCTGGGCCCGCCCACACACCGAACAGGTCCCCATTCAGAGGCCCGCATCTTTCTTTCACGAGAGTACTTTCACCGGATTCTCAGCCGGAGCCCCTCAACCCTTCCGCCCGCGACCCAGCGGCTGCTGCGAGCCCACTCAGCCTTAGCCAAAGGCGGCGCGTTCGGACCCGCGGCCCGCTGGGGACAGAGAGGCAGACGCAAGGCCGGGAGAAACCTGGGCGCTCGGTCTTGGGTCAGACTCTGAGGCGCCTCAATCTCAAGAGGCGGTTTGTCTTTCACCTAATTCAAGAGGCCCAGGTTTTCCCCGAGGGCGTAATCGCGTGGGCTGATCACGGCGCTTCACCGCCTCACCACATTTTCCCGCGCTCCCATCCAACTGGCTCGCCACCCCCGACCCGCTGCTATCTTCAGTCGCCTTGTCCCCGCGGGCCGCCTCTCCCGCTCCACGAGGGGCCGCGGGAATCTACAGCACCTCCGGCACCCCTCGCCACCCAGCACGCGCCAGGACCCTGCCATTCTGCTCGCCACACAGACACGCAGTAACGCCCCAGCATCTGCTGCAAAAGTCCTTCCCCACAGCGGAGATTCCCAGCCCCACGCGCCCGGAGTCGCCCCCGCCTGGCGCGGTCGCCGCGCCCCCAGCCGCAATCCCGCCCGCGCGCCTCCGCGTCTGCGGGTCTGTCTCCAGCAATCAGAAGGTCGGCTGAGCCCCCACGTGTGACCAACGAGCTCTCGTTACACCCGGGGAAGACCTCGGCCCCACGCTCTAGGGCGGCCAACAGCTGCGTTAATTCTCCAGCGGGGGCGTTCTTTGCTTCCTCTCCAGCCGGCAGCGGTCGGGTTGTCCGCAGCAGCGACTACTATGGCCTCTTCCTCTCCACTGTGATCCCCCACCCCGCCGCACGCTACGGCGACAGCTTCCAGCCGCCTGCCTTTTGGTCTCTCCCTTATGAAGAGAAGAACTGAGGAAGGGCCACGCTTCCCTCGGGGGAGGGGGGAGGGTCTGCCCGGCCCCACCTCCGTCGCCCACCGCTCTCCCTGGTGGCCCGCAGCCCTTCCAAACCGGTTCCTCCGGGTGAAGCGTGCCTGCCCTGGGCTAACTTTCCGCGAGATGATGTCCCCGCGGACCTGTCTTGCCCCACTGTCCCTTCAACCTCTCCGCAGCCTCGCCAGCTGTCCGCAACGTGAAGCGCGTGGCGGGACCCGAGGCTGGGACCTCCGCGCCCAGGATTTTACTCGGACTCCAGCACGTGGTGGAGCGGGGGGTGGCGGCCAGAGTACAGGCTGGGGGAGTCTCGGTGGCACCGGAGAGGGTCGTCTGGGGGCCCACGGCTACTTTCGCGGAGGACGAGCCCGGCGGCCTGGGCCGGCTGACCCCGGCTGGAGGCCCGCGCGTCATCCCCCCTCCCACGGCCTCAGCCCCGGCGCGCAGACTCACACCCCTTCCTAGCGAAGCAAATGGTCCCTTCCAGGCGGGTGGCCATGTTGCTCTAATAAAGCGGGAGGGGCGGCGGCGTGGGGGGAGCAGATGCTGCTGGCTGCGAGCGGTAGCCGGGTGCTAGCAGAGCGCAGCCGCGAGGGAGGCGCGGGGGAGGCGAGCCGGAGCCGGAGCCGAAGCGTCAGCCAGTGTTGGCGGAGAGCACCCAGGCGCAGCCGGAGTCGGAGCCGCAGCCGCGATGGCCGTGGCCGTGGGGAGACCGTCTGTGAGTGCTGGGGCCTCGCTTCCCTTGCGGGCTGCTCCTCCGGCGCTGGGTGGTCCCCGCTTTCGGGCGGGTGCCGGCGGGGAATACGGGGGCCCGGGCGGGGGCTCCGGATGGTGGCGGCTGTGGGTGTGTGCATGAGATTGGGCGCGAGTCTGGAGCTGAGGGGAGGGCTAGGAGACCAGAGACTGGCTGGTCTACTACGTGATGCAACAGTGTATCGCCTAGTCGCGCCCCGGTTCCGGAGTTGTGGGAGAGAAAGGACCCCTTTCCTATTTTCCCTTTAAAGGGATTCTTTTAGCCATGGTGTTTCTCGTCTGCCTGCCTCCCTCTCCGCGAGCACACCTTTCCTCTCGTGACAGTCGAGACAGGCGCCGAGAGCGGGGGTTTCCTCCCGGCTCCCCCTCGCCGAGGGGGCTACCAGGGCATGGGAATTGTTCGCCCGAGCGCGCTGTCACACGGCTGTAGAAGCGGGTCAAAAATAAAAGGGTGGGATTTCCATGGTGGCTTCCCCAGTGCATTGTGAGATCTCAGACGCCCCCAGGCACCCACCCGGCTGACCCGGCCCTGCCCAGGATGTGGACAAAAGCCCTAGATACACACACAAAGTTTTCACAAGGCCCCCTTGTCGTGGTGGGTGGAAGTATTAAAATGCTCTGCGGTTGGAAGACCAGGGGTGGCGAACCGAGGAGGCGGGGGCGCGAGGAAGAGGAAGGGAGGGCGGGTGCGTGGAGACCCGGGTGCCCGGCGGCTCGGATCGAGGGGATGCCCCCGCCCCGAGTTCGCGGGCCGGACAGGGGCCGCGCCTGCTGGGGTGCAAGACAGTTCGCGACTCGGAGCCGGACTTTGAGGGTGCGGTTTCAGTCGGTGCTCCGCATCCCCGAGTGAAATGCGGGGGGGGGGGGGGGGAAGGGGCGGCGGCGGTTCCTTTTTACTGAAAGGAGCGGAGCCGGGTGGGAAAGGCGGAGTCCTCTTTCTCTTTCCCCATTTCTTTGTCGATGTTCAAAGTCCACTTTCTCACCGCTGGTATTGGGGGCGCCTCTAGCGAGGTTTTTCCCGCTCTACCATCCCCTTTTCCTTTTCTCATCTCCTTGCCACAACTGGGTAGCTGCAGGTGGTGGCTTCAGAGGTCTTGTAGTTAGGCATGAAAGTCTTACAGAGATACTGGAGGCTCTGAAGTCCCGGGAATGCAAGGCTGTGCCCTGACTCCCAGGTCTTCCTCTAGGTCCTCTCCAGATACTGGCGCCTTTTGCCGCCCCTGCCCCCACCTCGCCCGGGGAAGTTCGCGGGGACCCTCTGCTTGTTCTAACGCGGTTTGGTGGCTCTGCTGCCGAGGTGTTTTCAAAGATGTTCTTCACAGTGACAATGTACTGTGGTCATATTGAAGTGTAACTGTGCGTCTTTTAAGCGTTTGATACCCTAATATTTAATGACATACGCTTAAGAATTCAGGTCTCCTCTTGCACACAAATTGTGCTCTTGATAATTAGTGGTCGTGGATTGTTGTTACAGAGGGAATTTACATAGGCTGTGCTAATCCCTTTATTTTGCTGGTGAGGAAATTGAGGCCCAGAAAGGTCAAGTTTATCTGATTAAATTACTCCCACCTCTCTCCCCCGTACCCACACTATACTTATTTCCAGGGCACAGATTCCGATAACTAAAATAACAGTATCTACTTTAGATAATTGGAGAGCGTCTGGGAATGCAAATTCGGGGGAGGGGTAGTGTTCAGTAACGCCTATTGCTGGTGCATTCTTGAGGCCTGGGGGAGGTGGAATAAATAATTTGCTGCACATTTTCTATAAATTAGTTAGTTCATATATGTCAGTTAAATGGGAACAGTATGTGGATTTAAGATTTAGCTGTGCGGCCATGATCATATCCAACACCAGGTCTGCCAACCAGATGTGAGCTTAATCCCACAGAATTCTTGTGTAAGACCTCTCTTATTCAAATAATAGAGGAGATTTTTAAAAGTGTATGTGTACAGAGGAGGTAACTGCTTTCTCTGCACATTCCCTGTTGTCACTGGAATTAAGATTAAATTACAGTTAAAAACAGAAGACTTTTTTGGGACTGAGTTGTGGTATGAGTGATCAAGAGTTGACTACAGAGTTGAAAAGTCTTTTCATACATTTCCAAGGAATTGTTGAATTGTTTCACTTTGTTCATTCAGCTCTTGTTTTAACTGTGGTGCCTGTAGTTATGTCTTCAAAACAATCCCGGTGAAGGCAGAATATTTCTCCAAACCCAGCTCCAAGGGATCAACACTACATCTTTCATTCTAGAATCCTCTGCCCCTCCTATTCCTTTATCTGTTCTCTGATTTGAACAAATGGAAGGGTGTGTTGAGAGAAAGGAATCACTCCAAAATTGATTTGGAGTTTCCCTAGTTACTCGTATAGAATTAGACTTTTTTAAGTTGTTTAGGAAAACATGAACAGACTCCTTTCCCTATAAACTGCCTCTCCCATCCAGATTGAAGGAAAGTTCAATTAGAATAATTTGCTCTCATAATTTTAGGTTTTCTTAAACTTGAACGTCTTAGTGTGACGTCCTAGGTAAATACGAGATTTTACTGGAGAAAAGTCCTTCTATGTCAGATGCAGTATTTTCTGTCTTATGAAGTGGTTATATTCAGTTATAACCATTTAAACCTTAAGGTTCAATTCAGATGTTTCTTTTTTTTTTTTAAGATTTTATTTATTTATTTGAGAGAGAGAATGAGAGACAGCACGAGAGGGAGGAGGGTCAGAGGGAGAAGCAGACCCCCGCTGAGCAGGGAGCCCGATGTGGGACTTGATCCTGGGACTCCAGGATCATGACCTGAGCCGAAGGCAGTAGCTTAACCAACTGAGCCACACAGGCGCCCTCAATTCAGATGTTTCTTAAGTGGATTTGTTGGCTGGAAAACACAGAGGCTTCAGTTTAGCATGATACTGTTTATTTCTGTTCTCATCATCACCCCCTAGCTTCTCCATTTTCTCGTGGATGGTCTTGGTGCTTGGCTCTGAGAAGACCCTGAAGCGCATCTGCTGTTCCCAGAATGTAACTAATGATTAGCAAGAGCATTTCTCCCCTAGGGATGTGTCCACATTTTGAATGAGTTAGTATTTTTGCATCCAAGTCCCAGGGCAGCTATTATTTTTATTTTAAACAGAGCATGGTAATTTGCTCTACCTGGGAATCAGGCTTTATATAGCTGATCCACTCTCTCTTAAGGTGTGATGTTCAAGTTACAGAGTCGAGGAGGTGAAAGGAACTTAAAGAGGTTATTTGGTTCAGCCTTTTTCCCAATGTAGAAATATTTCCTACTTTATCCCTAACAGAAGGTATGTATTTAAACTTTTCCGGTTGTGGAGAGTTTCCATGATATCCTTCAAGAAACACGTTTAATTGTTCTTTTATCTCTTGAGCCAAAAGAAATGGAAAGCCAAGTTCATTCACTCATGTAAAACTATTAATTGAGCACCTCTTGTATGCTAGGTACTGTACTAGGAGCCAGGGTTACAGCAGTGGACAAGAGAGAAAATTCTCTGTTTACCTGGAGCTTTTATTTTTTGAGATTTAGTGTCCATGTGTATTAAAGTGATGAGCTTCAGTGGAGTATGTAAGCCATTTAGGGAGAAAGGAAATTATGTGCCTGTTGCTGAGTCAACAATTATGATGCAGGTAAAGATCTTGTCTGGGAATCATAGACAGTTCCTGAAGATATGGTCTGTTTTCAGCAGGAGGGTGGGGACTGACAATGAAATGTTATTTTTCCTTGTTATAAAATTGCCAGTTACATCTTGAGGTTGTAGCCCTCCGTGTGGAGGGCTTTGGCTCTTTTCTACCTGGAGAAAGATTAATGGAGCTAAGAAATGTCCAGGGGGTGGCAATCTAAATGATAAAGGGGCTGTCATCTAGGGGGGAGTTTAAAAAAAAAAAACTCTTTAGTAAGTGGTATAAATGATACACATTGAGGCTCTATAAGCAATTATTAAAGAATGAAGGAAGTGTTTGAGGTACAGTAATCTCCTTAAATCTTTTGAAAGCTATAGATTTTATCTTTTAAAATATCTTCTTTAAAAATGATATGTTTACATGACAATGAAAAACAGACCCACGGAATTGATTAAAAGAATGAAACTACCCATTTCCCACCATCCTGATATAAGAGCTCCTAGACTGTTAGTGTATTTTCATCGACTGTGTGAGATTTACACAGGTGAGCATAACCTATCTCGTATAAACTGCAACTTAGAAACCAAACTGTGTGCCTGGTAGACCCTGTCTGTTTGGACACTCATATAACGTAGGAACCAGATGCTTAGTGCTTTCAAAGGGGCCACCCTGTATTTGTATCCAGACAAAGGAATGAATGATTTGGTTGTCCTACTTTGATTGATTGCCAGAAGACCTAGTGTTTATATCCACTGATGATGCCACAGCTGATAATGATCTTCGGGTTTAGACTCCGTGTGGGGCAGGCTACAATCAGAACTTTCTATGCCAGGGTTTCTCTTTATAGGACCTTAAACTTGATTGGGGGTGGGGTGGGTAGGGGCTTTGTTGGATTTTATATAATTTATTGAAAACTGTCTTTCATAGTGCTAGTTAGACCTGTCTTAACTGGGGTCAGTGAAGAAGAACCATTATTTAAGCAAAGACCCAGAAGATCTAAAGCTTCTATCCTGTTCCCCAAGGAGACCTACTTTACAATTTAATTGACAGCCCCCTTTGTTGTTGTTGCTGTTTTTTAAATCCAGACTGACAGAAAACTCTCTTCAACTAAACAGTACCACCTCTGACCCACTCAGCCCATCAATGCAACCACTGTAAAACATAAAAACAATACCTGGGCTAAGGTGATAGAGACAGGCTTCTAAAAAGAATTTCCTGGGTGATACGAAATCAAATTTGCATCATCATAGGCCTGATCTGAGGTAGAAATCAGGAGTCTGTACCCTTATATAATTGGAACCAAGGCATTAGAACCATCTTTTTTAGGATCTATGCCAGTGAGTGTGAGTGCCTTGTTCAAGTCAAAGGGTTCAGGAAGCTGACCTGTGTGGATGCATTCTCTCCCCCTGCTGAACTATGACCGTGTGGGATTGAGTGTGATGTGTTGATGGAGGGAGCAGGCTGAGGTGAAGAGGTTGAAAAGGCTTCATGCTCCAAAAAGAATGTCTTTGGTACCCGACAGGAAGAAGCTTTGTTCATGCCCCCCCCCCTTTTTTTTTGCATTTTAAAAATTGTGATAAAAATACATATAACACAACATAAAGTGTAGGCCTCTGAGAAGAGCTGAGCTGGCAGCTGGAGGCTGGGAAAGAAAAGCTGAGATGTTCCCAGTAAAGGGCCTTGTGCTGGACCCTGAGGAGATGAAAGGGAAGATGTGTTGAGGAAGTGATCTCCATCCACCTCATGAGCTTCCTCATCTATGTGGCCCTGCTGTGAGTCACACCTTTTATCCTAAAGAAATTGGACAGCGTATGAAGATGGGCATCACATGTGCATGCATGATGTGAAGAACCCAGTTACAGTTTCTACTATCTGCAAATGAATAGGCCCAGAAAGTTGTAAGAGACTCTTTGATTGAATAGATGTAAAAATTCTACTTGTTAAGAACAAATTTGGTTCTGGTAACTGACCTTCATAGCTAAAATTTAAAACTACTTGTGAAGTAAAGACATTTTGTAGTGATAATACACCCATATGCCTGTGGTGTTCAGCCTCTGGGAATGTTGATATAATTATAAATAAGGTCAAACTCCATTCTCTAGCAAGTATTAATTATAAGGGAATTATGTCTGCAAAAAAAAAAAGTGTACCTGTTTGTTTTGATAATTAAGTAACATTACTTCGGGATGAATTTATGATTTCATAATTTTTTCTTATAGAAGTAGAATCACAATAATACAGATAGCTTAGAAATTGAAAAACAAAACAACCCCCAACAACCTAAACATATCAACAACATTCTTAGCTTCCTAATCCATCTGCTTCATCGGATATTTTTTCCATTCTTTCTCTTAGCAGGTGCTGAAGTTATGATGTTGAGTATTTGAGATGCCATCCCTGCTGCTCTTTAAATTTCTTGGAAGGATGAGTAAGCAGTAGGATGAGTGAGGAAGCAAAAGGATGAGTAAGAAAGGTGAGGTAGAAAAGTGTGCCAAGCCAGGGGAATAGCATGTGCAAAGCTCTGGGTGTGAGGCGGAGCCTCTTAAGAAAATCCAGCTATGACATCAGCATTCAGGGTGGGGTAGGGAGAGTGGACAGATGTGAGTCTAGGCAGGTGGGGGGAGAACAGATCATGCAGTGCATTATTGAAGACGTGTGTATTTTCTACACAGTTTTTAAAATATTTTATATCCTATGCACCCCTTTGCCCCAACTTAGGAAATCTCCAGATTCTTGGAATTGGTTGATAGAAGACCTTGAAAGTCTGTAGAGTATGAATTCTTTAGGATTCAATAGAATAGAGGCGAAATGAAAAAGGATAGCAGAGTTGATTCCTTTCATGACCAAATTGCACCCTTAAGAATAGAGGAAGTGAAGACTGAGAAAGCACACAAAGAGGAGGTGGGGTCCAGTGACAACATTCCCAACATAGGTCTTCCTCTGTCTAGTCTTCTATATTGAGGCCTTCCTCGATGTGGAACTACAAATTCTCGTTTTCTTAAACATTGAAGTGACTGAGTTCTGAAGGGTAGGAAAATGGCAGGACTCCTCCTATCTTGGACTGCAAGTGTCAATCAGTGTTCTCCATAAAGAAAATTAAAAACCCTTTGGATACTAGGAAAGTAGGAAAAAAGTCTGTTAAAAGCCGGGGTTTTCTTAAGACTTAACACCTCTTTCATTCACTTCATCCCTTTGTGTATCATTTTTATGTCAATATAAATTTTGTGAGTCTCATTAAGTGTGCCCATTAAATTTACTCAGACCTGCTGTTGAAAGAAAAAGGCTTAACCAAAACCCTCTGTGCACAGAAAGCCTGCTCAGCATCTTGATTTTTTAATTTTTTTAAAAGATGAAAGAAGTTGAGGGGCGCCTGGGTGGCTCAGTTGGTCAAGCGACTGCCTTCGGCTCAGGTCATGATCCTGGAGTCCCAGGATCGAGTCCCGCATCGGGCTCCCTGCTCGGCAGGGAGTCTGCTTCTCCCTCTGACCCTTCCCCATCTCATGTGCTCTCTCTCATTCTCTCTGTCTCAAATTAAAAAAAAAAAAAAAAAAAAGAATGTAAAAGATGAAAGAAGTTGAAGATGACGCAAATGGAAAGATATACCATGCTCATGGATTGGAAGAATTAATATTGTCAAAACATCCATACTACACAAAGCAATCTATAGATTGAGTGCAATCCCTATCAAGATACCAGTAGTATTTTTCACAGAACTAGAACAAATAATCCTAAAAGTTGTATGGAATCACAAAACACCCCAAATAGCCAGGGCAGGCTTGAGAAAGAAGAACAAAGCTGGGGGTATCACAATCCCAGATTTCAAGATATACTACAAAGTTATGGTAATTAAGACATTATGGTACTGACACAAACATAGACACAGATCAATGGAACAGGATAGAGAACCCAGAAATAAACCCACACTTATATGGCCAGTTAATCTATGACAAAGGAGGCAAGAATATACAATGGGGAAAAGACAATCTTCTCAATAAATGGTGTTAAGAAAACCAGACAGCTACTTGCAAAAGAATGAAACTGGACCACTTTCTTATACTATACACAAAAATAAATTCAAAATGGATTAAGGACCTAAATGTAAGACCTGAAACCATAAAACTCTTTAAAGAAAACAAGCAGTAATCTCTTGGACATTGACCTTAGCAGCAGTTTTCTAGATATGTCTCTTAAAGGCAAAGGAAAGAAAAGCGAAAGTAAACTGTTGGGACTATACCAAAATAAAATCTTTTGCACAGCAAAGGAAACCATCAACAAAACTAAAAGGCAGCCTGCTGAATGGCAGAATATATGTACAAATTAAATAGCTGATAAGGGGTTAATATCCAAAATATATAAAGAACTTACACAACAGCAAAAAGAAAGAAAGAAAAAAAAAGACCCAATTAAAAAATGGACAGAGGACCTGAAAAGATATTTTTCCAAGAAGACATGCAGATGACCAACAGACACATGAAAAGATACATCACTAATCATAAGGATATGCAAATCAAAACCACAATGAGGTATTACTTGACACCTCTCAAAATGGCTAGTATCAAAACAACAAGAAATAACAAGTATTGGCAAGGATACAGAGAAAAAGGAACCTTCATGAACCTTCATGCACTGTTGCCGGGAATGTAAATTGGTGCAACCACTGTGGAAAACAGTATGGAGGTTCCTCAAAAAATTAAAAATAGAAATACTATATGATCCAGTAATTCCACTATTGGGTATTTACCCAGAGAAAATAAATATGGTAATTCGAAAAGATATATGCACCCTTAAGTTTATTGCAGCATTATTTGCAGTAGGCAAAATATGGAAGCAACTTAAGTGTCCACTGATAAATGGATGGGTAAAGGATATGTGGCATATATATACAGTGGAGCATTATTCAGCCATAAAAAAGAATGAGATCTTACTATTTGTGACAACATGGATGGACCTAGAAGGTGTTATACTAAGTGAAATAAGTCATCAGAGAAAGACAAATACCATATGGTTTCACTTATGTGGAATCTAAAAAACAAGATGAATGAACACACAAAAAACCAGAGTTGTAAATACAGAGAACAAACTGGTGGTTACCAGAGGGGAGGGGGTGGGGGGATGGGCAAAATAGGTGACAGAGTTGAGGTGCAGACTTCCAATTTCAGAGTGGATAAGTCACAGGGATGAAACGTGCCGCATGGGGAATATAGCCAATAATATTGTAATGGTGTTCTGTGGTGACAGATGGGAATTGCATTTACGGTAAGCATAGCTTAATGTACGGAGCTGTTGAATCACTGTGATGTGTACCTGAAACTAATGTAGCATTGTATATCAACTATAATACAGTTAAAAAAAAAAAAAACCCTAAAAACCTCTGTGCACAGAAAGCCTTCTTGGCATCTTGATTTTTAAATTTCTATTTAAATCACTGCCAAGATATTTATCTTATTTTATCCTTAACAAAATTCCCAAGAAGTAACATAGACAAGAAAACTGAGGAACAAAGAAGCTAACATTTACCTAATGTGATGTGGTACAGCCAGCTACTGGGGGGGCTAGGCTTTAGAGCCAAGACTCTTAGACCAACATACATACAGATCTACCGGTTGTGTCGGTTTTTTAGACTACATTTTGCTCAGGTAATACATTGGTCCCAAATTTTGGTGGCTTACACAGCAAAGGTTTATTTCTCACCCTTTGTTCTTTGTTCTATCCTCTGAGATCTCCTTGCTGTATTGACCCTAGGATCTAGGTCCTCTATCTGGACCTTGCCAGTCTGGTGGCAGAGGAAAAAGATACTGAACCCTGAACTCTCAAGTTCTTACATGGATCACTTACTTCTACACAAACTTCATTGGCCAAAGTAAATTGTCACTCCTAAGTTCAACAAGATGAGATGGATAGTCCTGCAAAGAGTGGCTCTGTCAGTCACTTGACCAAGCTTGAGGGCCATGGGATGGGGAAGGAAATCCTCTTCTACAGAGGGCAGGAAACATTTTGAATCCTAAGACTTCATTATACCATCCTAGTCAGGGTATCTACTTTAGAGCCAAAGGTCTTTATTATTTTTTAATATTGTTCCCAGTCCATAATGATTTTTTTCACTGCCTTTGTCCTACTCTGATTCCAGTTGGACATGATAGAATGATGAGAAAGAGTGTGTTAAGCAGCTAGGATGAATTGAAGGCAGAGGATGTGATTATTCCTATTGTTCACTCACAATGAGCTTCCAGTAGCATCCTCACTAAGTAAGGGTTGGTTGGTGACCTGAAAGACCTCTGTGCTGTTCTGTGGTGGCCCCAGCTCTGGGACTGTACTCTCTGGGAAATGGTTTTGAGGCCATTAGGACTTCCAGCTGCTTGACAGAATTATTTCCCTTGGGATGCTTCCAAATCTGTCCTTTCCCAGCCCATCTGTTCTTAAATGCAGATGCATCAGATGGCACCCTTCTTTTCCTTGCTTTGTTTTCTGTCGCTGAGAAGTAGTAGTACTATATCACATTTTGGTTAAGAACATAGGCTCTGGAGCCAGACTGCTTGAGTTCTAGAGTATCAGCTCTGCCACTTAACCACCTTTGTGACCTTAGGCAAGTTACTTACCTTGTGTACCTCCCATTTGTTAGCTGTAAAATAATAATAGTACCTTCCTCAAACATTTATAGGATTAAATAAGACACAAAGTATTTGCAGTGATGCATGAAACATTCATCCTCAATAAAAAGGAAATGAATATGGAAATAATAATGACTTTATACCAAAGACTGGGATCCAAGCAGAACTGCCAACCCACCCCATCCCAGCTAGGGAGTGAGCATTTGCCCCTTCTCCTCTCACCCACCTGAAATGCAGTCCTCCCTTTTTCTAATCAGAGCACACCTTGGAGGCACAGATCCAGTCTACCCTCTCCTTGAAGCCTTGACCTGCCAATCCAAGTTTTTGGTAATTTTTCCCTCTCTGAATTCCTGCGGCAGTGATCCCCTGCAACACTTGTGTGTCACCCTTAGTGTTCTGGCGTCTCTGCACCACCCCCACTTTCTTTAAGCTCCTATTTAAAACAAATAGGGATGATCCCAGGACCATCCCAGGTCCCCAAGATCCTGTGAATGTTTTTTAAAAAATCTCTCATTACCACAAGCATTTGTTCTGCTAGCCTTGACTACATTCATGCATTCTTAGCCTATGTTATCAGATTTAAGGGAAGAGACTGTTGTGCACCCCCCCATTAATAAACATATGACTGAGTAAAAATTGGTCCTTTGGATAAGACTTGTGCCAGCCCACTTTCTCTCAGTCCACCTTTTAATTCATGCTGTTGCTATGTGAATTTCAGGCAGGTGTAGACCACGTATCTATAGCTTTCTGCCCCGGACTTCTCTGCTGTAGTCACCTGGGTTCTGCCTAGTTATTTTGACCTATGTGCACATCTGGATGTCCAAGAATGTTTCCATCCCATGGGCCAACACTTGCCTGGTGGAGGATGGAAGCTGGTGGACAAGTATTTCTCTCTTTTGTCACTAACTTTGACAATTCTGAGGCACAATGTATATGGCTCCTCAGAGGGTCCCACATGGGCCCCAGCCCCAGTCCACAGGGGTGATTAGCTCCGAATATATACATTTAGGGTGGCTGTGCCTCCTTTCCTGTTTTATCCTTCTTAGTCTCCACTCCTGTTCTTTTGGATCACTTCTGCAAATAACTGCTTGCATGTAAGCCCTTGTCTAAGGACCCTGCATTTTGATGAAGACACCTTGTTTCCTTTTTGGGGCTCTTTTACCTTATGCAAATGAGGGAGCATGAATGTTACTTTGTAACATACCAAATTACTTTGGACTTAAAAAAAATATGCTGAGGGGGCACCTGGGTAGCTCACTCATTAAGCGTCTGCCTTCGGCTCAGGTCATGATCCCAGGGTCCTGGGATCGAGCCCCGCATCGGTCTCCCTGCTCAGCGGGAAGCCTGCTTCTCCCTCTCCCTCTCCCCCAGCTTGTGTTCCCTCTCTCACTGTGTCTCTCTCTGTCGAATAAATAAATAAAATCTTTAAAAAAAAAATATGCTGAGAACAAACTGATCTTTCTTTAATCAGGGTCTTAGTACTTGTAGGAGGGAAGACTTCAAACTGTTGTCAAAAGTTAGGCTCAGAGGGCGCCTGGGTGGCTCAGTTGGTTAGGCGACTGCCTTCGGCTCAGGTCATGATCCTGGAGTCCCGGGATCGAGTCCCGCATCAGGCTCCCTGCTCAGCGGGGGGTCTGCTTCTCCCTCTGACCCTCCCCCCTCTCATGCTCTCTCTATCTCAGTCTCTCTCTCAAATAAATAAATAAAATCTTAAAAAAAAAAGTTAGGCTCAGAAAAGAAGAAAACTGGATACGTCATGTAATCTTTTCTATAATTTTCATTTCTACTTCTTGGAGTGGAACCCAAACTCTGGATGGAAGTGCTTGTCTCTGAGTATATAACCCCTACTTTGTACTTTGTTCTGTAACTTCTTTAATGTACCCATTTCAAGTCAATTACATATTTTATAATCTAGAAACTAGATACAGAGTGTATGGGGGAAATATGTTTTTGATACATGAACTGTGACTTGGGCCAAAGTTTAAAACTCTTTTTGAAAAAGAGAAATTTTGTAGCTTACACTGAATAGACAGGAAAAAAATGAGGTAAAATTTTTTGAAGCAACTTTTAGTGAATTAATAATATTGAGCAATTTTAAGGGCCCAGATTAACTTAAGTATCTGCCTGAGAATTCTTCAACTCATTGGAGTTGTTCACATCATCTCTTCACTTTGAGCCTATCCCAGAGGCATTTTCTAATAATGTAGGGGACATGCTTGGAAACACCACAAGCCAAAAAAATTCATTGTCCAATTTTCCCAAAATTTGTTACCTTTGCTCTCACTCTGAAGTTTGGTCTGACTTTTTGTAGGGGTGAGCAATATAGGACTGTACCTCCTCCTGTTGTAATGATGTGATTGTATGTTACATACCTCTTTGTTTTAAATGCCTTATCTAGTCCTTAGTTTTTTTGTTTTTGTTTTTTATTTTATTCCAAAATAAAGGGAGTGGGAGGAGAAAACTTAAAAAATTGAGTACTGAAGCATATGATTTCTCCATTTCTCAAACTAAACTGGAATTATTTTTCAGGTTTCTTTTTTTCTTTTTTTTTTTTTTTGTCTTTAAATATACACTTGGAATGTTGTTGCTAATTTGCACATTGGCTTTGCCGCTTAACTCCTTGCACCTACTGCAGTGATGTCCTAATTGAAGGTGTGCAATTCCACACAGTTTCCTGGTGATTAGATTTCAGTGGGTAAACACTGATGTTCATGATTTTCTTGTGAGATAGTTTGGTTAGATATTGTTCTTGAACCCAACCCCTTCAGCTCTTATTTGATGGATCAGGACTCGCACTTGCCCAAGATAAACAGTAATGATCTTAAGGTCAAGTCTTCTAACTATTGTTTATACCTTCTTTCCAAATGGAGAGACCACTGTAGTCTGCAGAATAATGCTGTCAGAACTTTTCTGAGATGATGGAAATGTTCTATTACTGCATTGTCCAGTATGGTAGCCACCAGCTGTATGTGGCTATTGAACACTTGAAATGGGGCTTGTGCAACCATAGAGTTAGATTTTTTATCTTGTTTAATTATAATTAATGTGTGTTTAAATTTAAATAGCCACATGTAGCTAGTGGCTACCATATGGGATAGTTAGCTTTAGGAGTTATGGTCTAGAAGTATTTATAATCTGATATTTCTTTCTCATTTTTTAAAATATTTTTTTATTTATTTGACAGAGAGAGAGAGCGAGAGAGGGAGCACAAGCAGGGGGAGTGGGAGAGGGAGAAGCAGGCTTCCGCTGAGCAGGGAGCCCGATGCGGGGCTCGATCCTAGGACCTTGGGATCATGACCTGAGCTGAAGGCAGAAGCTTAATGACTGAGCCACCCAGGCACCCCTCTCATTTTTTAGAAAACTTTTTTATTAAGAAAAATTCCAAACCATACACAGGAGAGAAGGTATAATGAAACCTATCCCACCACCTAGGCCAATCTTACGTCATCTCTTTCTCCTTTTTTCTCCCCACCCCAAACCCCCCAATTTGTTTTGTTTGCTTTTTTAAAGATTTTATTTATTTATTTGACACACAGAGAGAGATAGCGAGAGCAAGAACACAAGCAGGGGGAGTGGGAGAGGGAGAAGCAGGCTTTCAGCCGAGCAGGGAGCCCGATGCGGGGCTCGATCCCAGGACCCTTGGATCATGACCTGAGCTGAAGGTAGATGCTTAACGACTGAGCCACCCAGGTGCCCCTATTTTGTTTGTTTTTTAAGATTTTTATTTTATTTTATTTATTTTTAAGATTTTATTTATTTATTTGACAGAGCGAGAGCCAGAGAGCGCAAGCTGGGGGAGCGGCAGAGGGAGAGGGAGAAGCAGGCTCCCCGCTGAGCAGGGAGCCTGATGTGGGACTCAATCCCAGGACCCTGGGATCGTGACCTGAGCCGAAGGCAGAGGCTTAACCAGCTGAGCCACCCAGGCGACCCAAGATTTTATTTTTAAAGTAATCTCTATACCCAACTGCTTGAACTTACAACCCTGAGATCAAGAGTCACACACTATACCAACTGAGCCAGCCAGGCACCCCTCAACCCCCCAAACTATTTTGAAATAAATCCCAGGCACAGCCTGATCTCATTTTAAGAGCTAAGCTGGTGGGGCGCCTGGGTGGCTCAGTTGGTTAAGCGACTGCCTTCGGCTCAGGTCATGATCCTGGAGTCCCGGGATCGAGTCCCGCATCGGGCTCCCTGCTCGGCAGGGAGTCTGCTTCTCCCTCTGACCCTCCTCCCTCTCATGCTCTCTGTATCTCCTTCTCTCTGTCTCAGATAAATAAATAAATAAAATCTTTAAAAAAAAAAAAAAAGCTAAGCTGGTGACCTCGGGGTTAGGAGCATGGCATCAGAAAGAGGTATTCAGGGATTTTCAGGTGGCTTTGTGACTTTAAAAAAAAAAAAAAAGCCTTCAAGTGTATGGATGGTAAAATTTATGGTTTGACAAAGATAGGTAATGAGTCTATAGATGAGTGATATTCTATATGTTTGAGGTATTTTATCCCCATCATCATCATCATCATGAAATGCTAAGCATGAGCCCATAGATGGAACAGTTACTGCACCAAGCTCGCTTACGTGTGCTTTTATTGAACTTTGGGTTCATGGATAATTTAAACATTCATACGCATTTTTTATCATTGAGCTTCATTGAATGCCAGCAGTGTTATAGAGTCATAGCATCTTTAAAGGTGGAAAGCAAACTGAGAGGGGCGCCTGGGTGGCTCAGTCGTTAAGTGTCTGCCTTCTGCTCGGGTCATGATCCCAGGGTCCTGGGATCGAGCCCCGCATCGGGCTCCCTGCTCCGCGGGAAGCCTGCTTCTCCCTCTCCCACTCCCCCTGCTTGTGTTCCCTCTCTCGCTGTGTCTCTCTCTGTCAAATAAATAAAAATCTTAAAAAAAAAAAAAGAAAGAAAGCAAACTGAGGTTTATTTTTGGTTTTAGCCCAGTCTCCTCAGAATGCTTAATTCCAGCGAGTAGCAGCTTGTTTTGAGCTCCCCTTGAGTGGTCCAGCACTTGGTCATACCACACTTGCCAGATCAGCTGACTGGCTGAGGTAAAACCTGCAGAACTAAGTCTCCTACCCACTTTTTAAAACGGCAGACTCTTAGAACCTCTTTTAGAGCAGACATGTTTTTTTTTTTCTAAGTCTATTTGAGGTATTGCAGATACTCTTGTTGGAGAGAAATGTTTTTTGTAATTAACGTAAAATTTTTCTCTTTTGAGAATTTATGTCCGTTACTGGTGTACATTTTTATAGGATATGCCTGTTTACTTTCTGTATTTCTGTTTATAAAAGAAACCTACCCTGTAGCAAGCACATTTTGGTCATGTAGACACATTGCAGGAAATAATGCTTGCATCAGTGGTATTTAAAAGTGCATTTTTACTTCACAGCATAAAGCAAGAATTGTTACTGCGCTTTTGTAGTTGGATTTAGGAGCTAATAATGATTTTCTTCCTCATGATAGACTGCAGAATATGTATATTCTAAATTTGGAACTCTACTTAGGATCTCAGGATTTAAGGGGAATGAATTTGTGATGGTAAAAGGTACTTGTATCATCAGAAATGCTCCCAGGCCTTGGCTCAGCTGTTTTATTGATGGAAAAAGATGATATGCTTTAGAATAAGAGCTATTAAAAATTTCAGCAACATTCTGAACAACTGCAAGCCTACTGTTGCAACAGGATGCCATTCCTTTTCCATGGTCAAGTCTCCAATAGAGTCTGCCCTTTGTGTTCCCTTGGACTTTTGTTAACCACATTCCTGGGAGAGAAGGAAGGGCTACGTCTAATCTCATCATCTACATTGCAGCTTAGTCCAATTTACTTTTTTTGCATGGTTCCTAGATATAGTGAATAGTTGGTTAATACCCTACGTGTTAATGTTGCTGCAACTCAGGATTTATGCCATTTTTTGCAAATAATACTCCTTTGAAATGAGCTTTCTTATCTCCACTTGACAGGAAATATTTGAATCCACGTTAGGGCTAAGAACAAGATTTAGGGAGATGTTTTGTCAAATCACACTCACTGTCCTTTTCATGAAGGGTAAAGACAAGAAACTATTAAGGCTTGTAAAATGACTGTGACCTGATTAGGAAAGTACTGGACCTATTTTCAGCAAAGAGGGTAAAAAATTAGTATGAGTAGCAGGTTTTTTTTTTCTTTGTATTAAATTTATAGATTTTGAAAAAATTCAAATTTAAATCCCGCAATAACACATCTTGAAAAAGAAAATAAATTCATGTAACCTAGGTCTCAATGCTTACACTTTATTACAGTTAGAAAAAATGCTAAACTTGATGTAGCCATCACATTAATAAGAAATAGAGGTTTACCTTATATATTCTCTTTAAAATAGTTAATGATCAATGGCTTATCACAGCTTTCATAGGCCCCAATTTGGTTCTGGATTAAATTATTTATGGCATGGTAAAATACTAAGGGAGAGAAATAACATAAACCATCTTTGACCAGGATGAGCTTCATTATTTGGCTCATTTATTGGAGGGGGAAAAAGTACCAAGAAGGACAACCCTCGGATTCTTCGGTTAAACTGGTATTGAATGGGCCAATGTGCGCCGCCTCTTAGCTCTGCCTGGCAAAATGAGGACCTCAGTGGTGCCAGAGTTTTCAGTTTTTCAGAACGTGGAATGGACATTTAGAGTTTGAGGTGAAATTTCCCCATCTGAAAATGTTGGCAGTTAAGTCAAATATTTTTAAAATACTGTGTGGGCCACATAAACATGTTCATGGGCTGAGACTGCCAGTTTGCAATCTGAGTTCCATTGAAAATAATTCATTTATTTTTCTTGTATTTGAATAAAGAAACCATTAACTTTTTTTTTTTTTGGTATGTCTTTTTAAATGCTTTAACATTTGAATAAGTAAAGTGCTTTTTGTAGAAAATGTGCTTGTTTTTAAAACAGAAGTGAAGGATTTACTTGAACTCTGCTATGAAAACGTCTAGATTGTTTGAGGGCAGTATC